ATGGTCCCCACAGCCCTCTGCCCAGCAATTCAGTCTCTCAGGGAGTTTGGAAGTGTCTATGGAGCTTCCATGACCTTTCCTTGTACAAGTTGTGCTGGTTTCCCCAGTAATGTGTACTGTCTTACCCTTCAAACTTAAACTCTTATCTATTTAGTTCCCCCCATCCCTCCCATCCCTCATAACCAACAAAGATTGTTTCTTTTGTGTGTAAACTTTTACATCAGTTATACAGTAGAGGTCTCATACAGTATTTGTCCTCTTGTGATTGACTTATTTCATACAGCATAATGTCCTCTAGTTTCATCCATGTTATGAGATGCTTCACAGATTCATCATTGTTCTTTATCTTTGTATAATACTGCATTGTGGGCATGTACCATAGTTTATTTATCCATTCATCTAGGTTGTTTCCATCTTTTTGCTATTATGAACAGTGCTGCAATGAATATGGATGTGCATATGTCTATTAGTGTGACGACTCTTATTTCTCTAGGATATATTCCTAGGAGTGGGATTGCATTTTGTAGTGCTTTTTTTGTGTGTGTGATGCTGATGTTTTCTTTGTTCCTCTTACTCTCCTGTGCTTAGCTACTTTTGTTTGTGGATTTTTTTTTTTTTCATTTCTTTTGTTTTTGCTGAGACTTTATGTTTTTCTTCTTTATTTTGATGAGTAGGTTTGTTAACTTTCTTTGTGGTTACCTTGAAATTTACCCTTATCTTCCTAGATTTGTACCAGTCTATTATTACTTGGTATCGCTTGACTTCCTTGCCATTCGAAGGTTCCATACCTACACCGTTTATTCCCTCTTTCATTGTTCTGATGCTGTTGTCACTTACAGATTAACCTCTCTGGTTCCCTTTTGTAATTCTTTTGGTTTTGCACAGTCCTTCAGAGTTTATTTCCTAGGTTGGTATCTGGCTAGTACAATCCTGTGTCCTATATTCAACCTGTGGTCTGATGTTGTTTGTTCTCAGATTGAAGGACTTCCTTTAATAAGTCTTGTAAGTTCAGTTTGGTTTTTACATAGTCCTTTAATTTCTGTTTATCTGGAAATGACCTAATTTCACCATCATATTTGAACAAGAGTTTTGCAGGACATATTATTCTTGGC